CCTCCGCCCCATGGAGCTTCTGATGGAACCAGAAGTGCCCGGTGAGAGACCCTGGACCCCCTCTGCCGCCTGGTTTCCCTTGGCGTCCCGCTGGCTCCCCCTGCCCTCCCTCGGGCTGTGTCCCGGCACTTGTAGCCCCCGCTTCCCAGTGGCATTGCATCAGTCATCCCCGAAAAGTTTGGGGTGCGGGGTGGGGTGGCCAGGTCTCCATGGCAGCAGTTGAGGAAAAGTAGGTCTTGTCATCTGCCCATCACTATTCTCTCCATCCACTCTCTATCCAGAGTGCTTCTTGAGGCCGAATTCCTTCCTCCTTCCCCTGTACCTGATGAATTAGGTGGTCACTGGGAAGAACTTAGCAGCACCAGGATCTGTATGGCCCCAGGAAATGCTTGTGGCAGATAGGATTCAGCTTGGCAGGTCAGCATGGCTGAAGTGAAACTTACCCTGGGCACAGAGGTGCGTGTTGGGTGGCTTCCTGACCACCACTAGGGAGCCCTGTGCTCCTTGGGGGCAGTGAGGTAGCAGGGCAGCAGTGCCTTCTTGGTTTGGGATGACAGAATCTATCTTTTCTCCACCTCCATGGGGTGCCCTAAAAAGCATTTGTCCAGAAGACCTCTCTGTAATGGCAGTATGACTGCATTTTTATAACAGTCACTGTTCAGTACTGAGCCAGATACTTGGGGAGAAGGAAGGTACAGAAGAGTGTAAGATGCGTTCTTAGAGGAAAGAAAATATTGCAGAATGACACATTTAACAGGGTGGAGAGGCAGGATTCCATCGGTGGGGAGCCTGCTCATAGCCAAGATCTATGCTAAACACTTTATGTGCATTTTCACATTTAATTCTGCTAATAACCGAAGGAAGTAGGTATTGATGGGTCCATTTTGCAGATAAGGACATGGAGGCTAAGAGGGGTTTGATAATTTACTGTGGGTAACACAACTAGTAAGTGAAAGTCTGCGACCATGGATACCTAATGTCTGGAGGCTGGAGGCATGAAAAGCTGGCGCAAAGGGTCACCAAGACTCTGGAGGGAGGACCTGGCTTGGCAGCGGCAGAGAACAGTAGAGAGAGGGCGAGACCAGGAAGGTGGTTCCAACCCGCTCACCTTCTGTGAGTTGCCAGGGCCGAGGTGGTGCCTAGGTGAGCTATGGTTGCTGCTGGCATCCAGCACCTCCCCCTCAGTCAGGTTCACCTGGGCAAGGTGAGGCTGGAGAGGAGGAAGCCTGGGTCTTGGTCCCCATTGGTTCACACCAGAAAAATCTTGGCTTCGATGCCTGCATGGTACAGTGATTTGGGCTGATGAGATAATTGCAGAAATACCATGAAATTCTCAGAAGGGTATTCATTTGGATTTACCACTAATTCAAGCAGTAATTGGAGCCCCGTTGTACCCCACAGAGGGATGAGGGGATCGGTGCAATGGCTGCCATTGTTCGTACGCTGGGCCCTGTGCCAAGTGCTTACAGGCATGGCTTTTCCACACCTCACTACCCTAGGAAGGTGTTACCCCCCATTTTACAGAAGACAGCAGGTTAGAGATATTAAGCCATTTGCTCAAGACTGCCACCACCACGCCACTAGCGAGCGGTAGAAGTGGGATTCGAACCCACGGGTGGCCGCTGAGCCAGAACACTGCAGCACCAGACCCTGTTACGTCTCGGTAAAGTTAAGCACCGCAAGGGAATATCGAGAAAGGCTGGAAAAGTCTGCTTTGTGGGGTTTTTCCCCCAGCTCGAAGCCCTCTAGAACATCCTCTTGCTGTGTCCTTCTAAGAGGAACTCCAGGGAGAAGGCAGAGTGGGCAGCCCTCTGCTTCACTCCGGCGGTCTGGGTGCTCTTCTCTCCCTCAGTCCAGCGGACCTAGAAGCTGGGACCGAGCCCTCCTCAGTGTCCTCACCATAAAAGACGTGCTGCCGCAAAGAGGCATCGATAAACGAATGACCAAAGGGGCCTGATGAAGGAAGAGCCAGCCCCGCACCCAAACTTCCCTGAGGTCTGGGATGCACATGTCCCTTCATTCAGTCAGTGAAGTTTACTGAGCATGCGCAGTGCCGAGAGCAAGGATGACTGTGGCCTGTTCGGAGCCCACCTCCCCCTGCACCTCCAGTGGGGGTCCCTGCTCTTGGAGGGCCTGGGCCTTGCTGACAGGAAGTGTCTCTTCCTGTTTAGTCCTTCGTGAGATGGGGAGGGGCCACTTTCCCATGACTGGATCCTATAAATCTGGGTGGGGTGGGCCATCAGAGTGGTGACGCAGCTCTTGGAACTCACCCTGGGCACTGCACATCCCCGTTCCTCCTCAGCTAGGGGTTTTGTCAGTAAATAGACTGGCCAAAGGCTGCACAGTGGCATCTGCGATCCAGGACACCTGCCAGCATCAGCCAGCTCCAGGCCCTCAGGGGAAGGATTGGGTTGGCTACCCCCCGCCAAACTTCGTGGCTCCATGCAGAAGTACAGTGGTTCGTGCCTTTCCTGCCCTTCCTCCTCTTCTTTGGACCTCTCTGTCCCCTCTCCTGGGACCCTTAACCGTGCAGACCCCTCCCATCCTCCTTGGCTGGGCCCCTGCTCTCCATGGCCTCTACTCGGCCTTGCCCCTCCTTCTACTTCAGTTCTGCCTCACAGCTGTGGCGATGCCGCTAGAGGAAGGCCCTGAAACCTCAGCCACCGCCCCCGCTTCCCACCCCCACCCCCCATCCCCCTTCTTCAAGCGCTCTGCTCCACTCTCCCTGAACCTTCATTGCCTCCCCACCTCCAGGCCTTTGCACGCACTGTTCCTTCTGCCTGGGATGCCCTTCCTTGTTCCCGGCTGCCCCTGCCCCTTGCTTCAAAACTCAGAATCCTGAGAAGGACACCAGGGGGTCGTGGTTACTGCTTCTTGGGCTCATCTGGGCTGAGGGGAGACAACCACCTAGACGTCACAGACAGAGAGAGAGAAACCACAGAATGGGGGTGGGAGGTCTCTTTTTATCTTTCTCCAGGATCAGCCTCCAGGAGGACACAGTGTTGGAGGTGAGAAGTTTCCCTTCCGTGGTTGGCTTGGAGCTCCTATAGGAAGCCAGCTTTCCCGACATCCTCAGGGAGCCTTTGGAAGCGGAGGCGGGGCTCCCCAGTGTAGACTGAGGCAGGAGTGGGCGTGGCCAGGAACGTTCCTGCCTCCTCTTAGTCCTGTAGAAAGTAATGCCACTCACCAGCTGTGTGACCTCTGGCAGAGGCTTAAGTTTCTTTATTTATAAAATGGGAAAAATAAAATAATATCCCCTCAAAGGGATATTTTAATAAATACACAAAAATGGGATAATAGGTGACTGGGATAATGCCTGGTACACTACTGCATACAGTGATTTCTTAGGCAATAATATTAAATGATTGCTATATTTATTATTAGGAAGAGAAAACATGAATGTCAAGGGACTTAAATAGGAGAAAGCACAGTCCTCAATTCACAGAGTCTTAACTACAGCCACATTTTAAAAAAAAATCAAAGCAGGTCTTAACTCTACTGCATCGGTGACACTTTGCTAACCACTCTGAGTGCCTAAAAGTAACCATCCTTTCTCTAACGTAAAT